TTTAAGCTCCAGTTGGTGCGATGACACGCCAACAAAGAGGTGACTGCTGGCCATGCCTACTTGTAGCTTCATTTGTAGCTTCAGAAACCTATGGGTGACATTATGGATACAAACATCCATATCTATACTGTATATGGGTGTGACAAAGCAAAAATTAAGAAAAATAACCCTTAATAATATACTAATTGCATGAAAGGGAATTCGTTCTTCATCATTTGATGCTTATCTTCATATTGTGGTATTTACTTCACCAAAGCCTTTAGGATACACAAGATGTGTCACTTGAATGGGGAAAGTGTAACGGTCAATATGGTGAATGAAGCCTCGCCTTTTTAGTACAGGAGCCACTCATTGATTACTAGACTGACGTTTTTTTGGGGGGAGAAGAATATTCTCAGCGAATACTTCACAAATACAATAATAGCCATATCACCCTGTAGACTAGACGGGTTACTCACTGAAACTAATCTGAGCCTGGTCAGTACCTGGATGGACAACACAATCTCACGGCAATTCGTAACTTTTTCATTTAGTGGCTAATTCGTATGAATTCGTACAATCTAATTCGTACAATTTAGTACGATTTGCTTATCCCCCAATGACGGTTGGGGTTAGGGGTGGGGTTAGGGTGGGGTTAGGTGCCACGCCTCCTTTTTAAAATCGTACCATTTTGTACGACTGAACTCGTACGAATTCATACGAATTAGCCACTAAACTGGCAAAACGTAAAATACTTACGTTTTCTCGTGAGATCAGGCTGGGATGGAAGATTACATCGGAAAAACTAGGTTGCTGTTGGTAGTAATGTAAGTGAGGCCAGCAGGGGGCGCTCAATCTGGGCTTGTATTAGTCCTAATGCCCTAGTATAGTGAAGGGGACTCTATAATGTCAGAGAGCGCCGTCCTTCAGATGAGACTTTAAACCGAGATTCCTGATTCTCTGTGGTCAAAACAAATCCGATGGCACTTCTCGTAAAAAAGTAGGGGTGTTAACCCTGGTGTCCTGGCCAAACTCCCTCCATCGACCCTTGCCCATGATGGCGTCCCAATCATACCCATCCACTGAATTGGCTCTGTCACTATCTTTCCACTCCACCTATAGCTGGCGTGTGGTGAGCATCCAAGTGGATGCTGCACACTGGTGGTGGAGCGACAGATTGTGAATTGTTTCATGATTGTGAAGAGCTTTGGGTGTATGGCCATACACAATAAATGCACACATGACTTACATACTTACTTGCTTGCTTACTTGCTTACTTAATAGCTTAAGGGGGCACAGGCAAGTATTACTGGGGCACACGCTCCAGTAAAAGGGATCTAGCGACACCCCTGCCTTCGAATATTGAAGTTTTCTGTGGAATTGATAATTTAAAATTTGTTTATAGTGTCACACCAGAGGAACATTTTTAGTGAGAAAACGTATCAACTTCTTCTGTTTACAGAAATATATGGATTAAAAGAATTGCCAATTAATAAAAAAAAAACACTTGTGGTATAAAATTAGACCTGAGGGTTTTATTAATGATTTGATCAGAGCTGTAATTTATTGAACTATGCTTGAGAAGGTCGCACCATAGGACAGTTTTGAGATTTGGCCTCAAAAAGTAAGACAAAATCAAAACAAAGTAGTTTATCTAACAAGAGGTCCATTGAAGACAAAGCAATTATCAAGCATTTACTGCATTTTAAATGATGACAATACTAATTATATTAATTTTTGTCATGTGTGACAGTGAAAATCCAAAATCATGTCAACAACCCATACACTGATAGTTGCGCTCATTATTGTAATCATGCAACTGAACCAAAGTAAAATAAAGAGCAGGTTCTGGTAATTGCAACAAAACTACAGAAAAGGTCAAACTTGTCTCTGAGAAACTTGGCTGAAGTCGCTATCTTTTAAGTCAGACTAATAAGATCTGAAAAGATCTTGGGACTGGGACTTAATACACTTAACTTAGAGGGAAAAAACAATGTCAGAGAAGCCTGACTTGGCTTCAGTTTTAAATGTAGTCGGTGCACCCTCGCTTCCCTCTTACCCCTTGTACGGTATTGTGTTGAAATAATACGAAAGATTATGTAAAAAAAAAACTGAAAAGACGAATATAAAATATAACTTAAATGTTAATATATATTAATCCTACATTACATAATATATTAACACTGCATATGCTATTCAATCAGCTAGACGTGTCTTAAACATCACAGAGGATACCATGATGTCAAAACAACATCCAAAAACATTCATTTCAAAATCTTGATGTCTATTTGACATCCACACATTAATTGATTTTGTATAACTGCAATGCATGTAAATTACATTGCTGCCAAAAATCTTTTTAGATGCATTGCAGGGATACAAAACGCAATGTAAGTTGGTAATTTGGAAAAAATCTTACTTGAAATAGCACTTTAAACTGGTAAAAGCACTCAAACTGCAATTCAGACAACTATACAAATAAATCTACTATTGTGCCTTTACACACATTTAGTTAAAGTCAAATTATTAAAATGATTAGTGCTTTTGTGAAATCTTTCATTTTTTTTATTTTCCCCAAGTGCAGTTTAATTGAGAAATGATTTTTCTCTTAACACATAAACATAATAGTAATATAATTAAAAAGTAATTCTAATAACACATTTTGCCTTTGCCATTGTGACAGTACATAATATCTTGCTACTTATTTTGCATGATAATAGAATGTATCATAAATATAATTTAAAGGCTTAACTAGGTTAGTTAGTTCAACTAGGAGAGATCAGATAATTAGGCAAGACATTGGCAGTGGTGGAAATAGTACTAATAAATCAAACATTAGTAGAAGTACCATTACTTGCCTAAAAATGTAGTGCAAGTAGAGTAAAATTATCTGTTGTAAATATTACTCAAAAGTATGAGTAAAAAGTAGACCTTTCAAAAGTAGTCAAGAGTAGTGAGTATTACGCTGTAAAAAGCTGATGCATTTACATTTAATTTGTGGATGTGTGTAAACGTAACATTCTGTAGCGCATTTAGTTATTGCCAAGAAGGCCAAAAATGTCATAAGACGATAATATTAGGTTAGATTTAGGTTGTGATGTCAGGTGACCAAAATTCAATGTCTAGCCAGCTTCTAAGGAACTTGTTATTTTGATGTTCAATGACGGCATCAAATGATGTTGATATTTGGTTGATTTTAAGTTGTGTTAGAAACTGACCAAAACCCAATATCTGATAGACGTCATAGTGGTTACGTTCACACAACGTTAAGCTGTAACATCATAAGATGTTGATATTTGGTTGATTTTAGG